CAAGGGCAGGCCCCGAGTTCAAGCCTCAGTACCTCCCCACCCAAAAAATATTTCTTGAAGTAGCATCTTTCTTTCTACTGTCTTTACGACTCTTCAGAACTTCAACCTGGCTCCCACCAGGCCCTTCCCCTAGTGCCCTAGGACTCCCTGTCTCTCAGCGCCACAGTGCTGGTGCTTCGCTCGTCTGTGATCATGGGTTCCTGGAAGAGCTGCCCACCTGTAGCCTGCAGAACTCCCCCTTGTCCTGGTCCTGCCATGGTGAGGGCAGCTGAGACCTAAAAGGCAAGAACTGATGACTTCTTGCTGGCACACTGCTGTTGCTTCTTTCCACAGGGTATTCTCCACATGTATTGTTAAATTCAACCTTTTTTGGATTTTTTTTTTGGCAGTACTGGGGCTTGAATTCAGCCTCATGCTTGCTAGGCAGACGCTGTACTACTTGAACCACTCCAGCAGTCTGGATTTTATTTTTATTTACTTTTTTGGGGAGGGGAATGTGCAATTAGGTAAGTGTTCTACCCACTGAGCACAGCCCACAGTACGCTCACTTGCTCTCTCTTTTTGCAAAGTAGTTGACAGTGTTTTATTGAGAGTGAGGAAGAGTGAGTAAAAGCAGGAAAGTACACTATCCAAGGGAGGGAGGGGGAGTGGGCTCTGAGCAGGGTGGCTTAAAAGCAGCACCTATAGCTGTCTATGGGTCTTGTGTTGGCTTGCCTACCTCTGTTAGTCTGCCCTGCAAGGCTGCAGTTGGAGGGTGGCAGCTCAGTCTAACCTGGGGTACTGTGCTTTATGGCAGGGTGGAGAGGTCCAGACTTCAGGATTGCAAGGGTGGTGGTCCTCACTCAGCCACCTGGTTCTTGCCACTTGTAAATGACCTCTTGCGATTGGGAACAAGTCTGCTGGAGGCATGATCAAGTGATAAGAGTGTCTGCCTAGCAAGTGCAAGGTCCTTAGTTCAAATCCCAGTATTGCCCCAAAACCCCAAAAAAACAAAAACAAGTGGGAAAGTGGTGGTGTTCTAATGGCTACCTTTACCTTTATGTGGTTCCCAACAGAACTGGACAGACAGGTCTTGAATCATAGGATCACAGGGCGCACATGGGAAGCTGATTCCTTGGGGGCATGTGGGATGCTGAGTGTCCAGTACTTCTCCCCAGAGGAGGCACAAAAGGAGGTTCTGAAGCAGACAAGGGTACACTGAGGCAGAGTGCGAAAGTTATCTCAGCTGGATATTTCAGAGTTTTGGTGCTGTGGGTATCTGGAAGCTTTGCCCCCCTCCTTTGCTGTAGGGTCTCTGCTGCGGGATTTGCAGGTACAGTGCATTCTGTAGGGCCATTTCCACACCAGGCTTGCTAGGGCCTGGTATGGGGCTGGGTGCTGACATCCAGGATTGAGGGCTGGAGCCTTGGCTTACTTCCTGTGCACCCTCTGAGGTATCTTCTGGCATCCTGGCTCCTTCCTCCTCGTGTGTGTGAGCCAAGGGCTGGCAGATGCCAGCCTTCATGTGTGGCTGCAAGCTGAGGCTGTTATAGAGGAGGCCTAGAGTGTCTGGGATGGGCGGTGCCTTGGGACGCAGGCACATTCCTTACTAATACCAACAGCTGGCAAGCAGATGACATCAGGGGCCTGTGTATCACAGTACTGTTGTCCTGATGTTGCCTAGAAGTGCAACTGTGCATACAGTAGGCATGAATGCTTGTGGAATGACTGCTCAAGGAAATAAAATGCCCAGTGAGAATGCCTGAGAAGGAAAGAGATAGGTTAGTCCCTTATTTCCTTCCCAGTCACTTTTAGACATTGAGGTTTTTGTGTGGACCCTGTGGCTTCAGTTCCTTCTTGGTCATCATTGATTAAAAGGTGCCCTGCTGTTGGGCACTGGTGGCTCATGCCTGTAAACCCTAGCTACTTGGGAAGCTGAGGTTGGGAGGATCACGGTTCAAGGCCAACCTAGGCAAATAGTCCTTAAGGTCCCACCTACAAAATAACCAGAGCAAAATGGATTGGAGGTGTGGCATAAGTAGTAGAGTGCCTGCTTTTCAGGTGGGAAGCTCTTAAATTCAAACCTCAGTTGTTGGGGCGGGGGAAGAAGAATATACACACAAAAGGTTCTCTGCTTACCTTGGGGCAGGGGATATGGCCTGGGCAGACTTGCTGTCCTCAGAACTCAGACCACGGTGCGGGGTGGGAGTGGGGGGGCGTAGCAGATCCTACCATGGGTTCCAGGAGGGTTTGCCAGACAGCTGAAAGCCAAGCCAGCGTCCTCCACACTGCCTCCCGCTGGGGAGAAGGGCTTCCTGGAGGGGACTTGCCTGGAGCAGAGGCATTGGTAGAGCTGAATAGTAAGTGGGCAGATCCTGGGAGCTGGGCCTGGAGCATGAACACTCCCTCTCCTAGGGTGGGGCCAAGAGGTCTGGATAGGCTGTGTAGGTGGAGTTGCTGGCAGTGTGCATTCTGAGTCTGATCTTTTCACTCAGTCACTGGGGAGGATGTTTCAGGCTCCAGAAGGAACATTAGACACAGCATCACGTTTGCGCTTGCTAGGAGCAGGTCTCTTCTGGCTGCGAGGGTAACACAAAGGGCGGCTGTGTGCTCTGTTACATTTGCCTGGGAGAAGTAGGGAGGTGGAGGGAAGAGCACTGCAAGACGCATCTGGGTTCCACGCATGCCCATCACAGACAGGGCCTTTCCTGGGCCTCAGATTGACCAGCCAAACTGAAAGACAAGGAGCTCGGGAGACTGCCCGATGCTCCGCTGCAGACCGGTGATGAGCTATGAGATACGCCAGTGGAGTCAGTTGGGGTGAGTGCTGGTGCTCAAAGCAGGTGGGTTCAGGTTGCTGCTAAAGGCAGGCACTGCCTAACAGTGTGTGGGGCACCTCTGAGGCAGAATGCTGGAGCATGTTTCTCGGTCCTGGCAGTTGGGTGCCTCAGTGCTGGGGTAAGTTGAGAAAGGTGGAGGCTGCTGGCCTCCAGCCAGACTAGACCAGTTAGCATGCAGGGTGTCACATACCTGAAATACTAAGGTATTTTCCTTCCAGTGTTTGACCTTAGTTGGCAATGTGTACCATGTGGGAATTAGGAGGTATGGTTCTGCCTGGAACAAGGGTGACCTGGCTTTGGAGGGAATTGGGTCTGGGTTTCTTGCTCACTCTTACCTGGGCCTCCGGGGTCTTGGGCAGAGGTGAGCAGTGAGTGGAATTAGGTGACTGCTAGCCGTGGGGTGCCATAGTGACCCTACCTAGGCTAGTGATCTACCTTAGGGGTGCCCACAAGTTGTAGGACACAGCCTGGTGGTCTTGGACAGTTTTCCTCCCGATGATCTCCTTTCAAAGTCAGGTTTTCAGGGAATGTTGCCACACGAATGGGGCTCTCTGACTTCTGTCTGTGTGCGTCCTCTTGTTGTAGGGCTCTGAGCACCAGATCTTGGGCCTCAGGGTCATGGGCACACTCAGACATGCTTGCTTTTCTGCTCACTCTGTGAGCCCACACAAGAATGACACCCTGTCAGCTCAGTGGTTGGATTCAACACTGAGGAAAGCGTGTGTCTTGGGCCTCAGGATCCTTGGGCCTCTCTGGCCGGAGGATGTGCAAGATGGATGTGGATAGCATCACCAGACAGCCCATCACTGCTTCCTTGCTTGCCTGTGGGTGCTTGGTTAAATGACTCCAAAAATAGTACAGGTGGGAATAGGACTGTTAGGGAACGAGGGTCATGAAGCCTGTCTGGGTGACTCTGCTGGGCTCCACTAAGCAGTCAGTCACCCTGTTGCCTGGGAATCCATTAAGTCCTGAAGGACGGACCTCAAGCCCTGGGTCACTCCAGGTCCTAGGACTCCTCAGAGATTATTCCTGCTGCACTGGAGAGCAGCGGCCTGTCCTTGGTTCTCCATGAAGTGTAGCTTGATAAAGCTTGGGTTTCCCCAGAGCACTAGCTCCCGTGTACTGCCCACATCAGGTACCATTCAGTGGTGCACAGGTGAGGACAGTTGTAAATCTCCTTCGATTACATTGAAAAGAAATTCTTAACACATTTCCGTGGGTAAATGCTCCCAGGGATGAGAGGAGAGGCAGCGTGTAGGGTTGCTGTGTGTGTGTGTGTGCCTTAGTGTACTTCAGAGGGAAGGTGCCCTTTTTGGGTGTCTTGACTGGATCAAGGCTGTGATGAATGGCGTCCATGCCTTTCGGAACAGCTCCTCATTGGAAGGTGAACCAGGTGTGTCCCTTTCCTGAGGAACTAGCATCAGGAGGGACAGAGTTTGCCATCTTTGGCTTTATAATTTGGAACAGATTCTAACAGTGCTTTTTTCTTATGTATCTACGAAGTGACTGCTGATCAGTGACTGCAGTTGGGGTCCTTCTCTAGCGGTTGCTTTATTTTGTTCCTAGAACTCACCCAGCGTACAAGCCCTTTTTCTGTTTCTCAAAAGATTGATCAAAAGCAGCCTTTCAGAGCTATGGGGAATGGTGTGCTGGACATGTGTGTGATGTGCTGGACACTGGGGCCTGGATTGTGGGTGGAGCTGGGAGCTCTCTGAGGGGACGGCTGGGGCACAGCTCTGCCCAGCTGGGAGGGTGGGCATCCTTGCTACCCACAGGAGTTCTCCTCCTAGGCCATGTAGTCCATCTTGGGTGATGTCTGGCCAGGCACAGCCTGCATTGAGCTGCCTGAGAACAAAGTCAGGTTGGGTCTGGAGCCTTCTTCCTAGAGGGTGACACTGTTGGGTTGACAACACCTGTCTTGTCACGACCTCAGGAGGACATGTGTCTTGATTGTGCCCTTGGGTACAAGCTGCTCCAAATGTGGAGCTGGAGCTGCTCATGTCAGTAGCACAGACAGGTTTGGTTTCCATGTGACTCTCCCCCTCTTCCATGAATCAAATGGATCATTCCTCCTCCAGAAATGCGGTGGCCCCATAGGTGGTGCCATCTGGGAAAGAAGGCGAGAAGCCCTTGGCCTGGTGGGTGGTGGTCCCGCTCACCCTCTCCCTGGTGTGCTTTCAGGTGTGGCTGATGAGGAGGCCCTGGCAGAAGAATGCCTGCGGAGAGGCCAGCATGCCCTGCAGGGCCCACCACCTGGCAGTGCCCGCTCGTCAAAGCCACCCAAGTCCACCCCGGTGACCAGACTCACGCCTCATTCCATCTGGGAAGAAGATGAGGAGCAGGACAGGCTGCGGGTCCCTGGCAACTGGGATGCCCCCATGACCTCAGCAGGTGTGCAGAGGGGAGCTGGTGTGGAACATCCCCAAAGCAACCCGCCCCCAGACTCAGGAGAGCAAGGACAGAAGTCACGCCTGTGCTGCTGTGTTCTAACCTGAGCAGGTGCAGGGAGCTGGGAGGCAGGCGCCAGCCCTGTGGAGTGGAAGTGGGAGGTGCCTATGTCCCAGCTCACCTCCCAGAGCTGCTCCACATAAGGCCTGGCCATGGCGGCTCTAAGCTAACCCCATGATTAAAACGGGGTCCTAGTGCTCTGTGATGTGTATGGAGTGTGTTGTCTGGGTAAGGATAAAAGAGCTCCCCGGAATTGCAAGGTGCCGCCTCATCCCCTAATGCTCCTTCTGTCTTTGAACATAGAGGTTGAGATCTTTCACTTTTCCTGACTGCCCCAAGGCCACTCCTGCCCTCTCCACCAGCTTCCCTTGGAGATGAGTAAGACCTCGCCCAGCCCAGCTAGGTCTCCAGCAAGTTCATCCTCAGGCCCTCATGACCTGAATCTCAACAGCCTGGCTCTGCCTTCTCCCCTGGCAGAGCTCCATGGGGCTCAGTAAGCTCCATTCTGGGCTGTCAGCAGGTGCACCCAAGGTTCTCCCAGGCAGAGCCCAAGCCTGTCAGTGTAGTAGGTCACTGTTCACCAGTGGAGGGCTTGCGCCTCCCTGGCTGGCCACAGCAGGTTAAGCTGTGGAAACATTGGTTCTGTGACAGGGTGGTGCCGGTTGTCACTAGATGCTCTGAGCAGGAAACTGAGAGGACAGGATTGCTCATTTGCCTCCCCAGAACTTTGTATTGAAGGAGCAATCTGTCCTCAGATATTGAGAACAGAGGAAAATGCACCCATCAAGAGAGCCCACCTATGGGGAGGCATTGCTGGGACTTTGGGCAGCCCACACTAACACCCGTTTGGCTGCCCTCCTGGCCCCCCCACCCCGCCTCCCCCAGCTCTGGAGGGGACGCTAGCCCAAGCAGGTGGGTGATTGGGGGATAGCATCATTTCTCTGGAACTGAGTGACAAATAGGTAGATGCCTGACTGCATTCAGGAATACTCAAGTACATTGGGTGGGCACTGATTGGTCGGAGGGGTGGGGAAGAAGCAGTGTTATTGTAAAGTGCATTTTCCTGAGCAAATTCTGAACAGTTGTAAGGACACTGTAAACCTGGCCTTCTAGGCACTGCGTAATCACCCAGTTTCTGAGAATAAGGTGCACAGGATGGGTCTGCCTGTGTTGCTGATATATAGGTGGGGTAGGCATTGGGGCAGACAGGGCTTGTGGACCCTTGTTCAAAACCAGGTCCATCTCTGCTGTGGGTACTTGTCACTGCTGAGAGAGAAACCTGGCTGCTGCCAAGGAATCTGAGGAAGGTAGAGTTTAATAGTGAGAACAGGAAAGTTACTCTTCCCACAAGCTCATTGTTTTAGTCATTAACTTTGACCAGCTGGTTCTTACCAGAGACCTGTTTTTGAGGCGGGAAAACTAGTGGTCTTGTGAGTTCTCGCAGAAATCCTTGCACAGAAGAGGTGGTGACAGACTTGTGTCCCTGGCTGTGGGGGCTCCCTGCTGCTGGGCCTCTGTGCTCTGAAGGGCCTGGGGTGCAGGAGTACCACTCCTTCTGCTCGCCGCCTTACAAGGTCTTACAGAGAGAGTGCCAAGTTAAGGAACCCTGGTTTCCTACAGAGGAGCATATGACCAGGCCCTGCACTGAACCCAAACTGCTACTGAGTCCTAAAAAGAACCTGGGAATGAAATTGAAAAGCATGGTCACTGCCCTCCAGGGAGTGAAACTGTGACCTCTGGATCCTCTTTTTCTACTGGCAGGATGGTTTGCTGTGCACAAACCACCTGCAGCTGACCCAGCAGCCTTTGTAGTCAGTCTGGCATTCAGCATGGGTTGCAGAGGGAGCCAATCCTAGCTACTTAGGAGGCAGAGATCAGGAGAAGCCAGCCTGGGCAAATAGTTCACAAGACCCTATCTTGGACTGGTGGAATGGCTCAAGTGATAAAGAGTGCCTGCCTAGTAAGCCTGAAGCCCTATGTTCAAACCCCAGTACTGTCAAAAAAAGAAAAAAAAGATCCTTAAAAAGGAAAATCTGAAGTATTCAACCTGAAAAATTATGACTGAAAGAAGAAATTGGTCCTTTAAAGACAACCACTTCCTGGGAGTGCTGTGGAATGTGTTCCCTCCCTACAGAGCACAGCATGGAGCTCACAGAACTAGTGCCTGTAGTTAATTCTGCTGTTGGCCTTGGGAGCCTGGCATTTGTCTTTCTAATGCAACTAACTCACGTACTTCTGTGTTGAGTTTTAAATAGTCATCAGTATGAGATGCCTCTGTAGATGTGCGTCTGGAGACTGGGTTCTAGATTCAACAGCAGGCTTCCATCCCACCACGCACAGCATGGACTGGATCTAAGTTTGCAGAACTGAAGGCAGAATCCTTTATTTCTGGCTCTTTGGACAGAATGTCTAGAGGGTGAGCATCTGTCTTGGCTTTGGCTGGATAAAGCAGACATGCACTTGTCAACTTCAAGCACGTGACACAGGGAAAGTGAGAGGCTGTGTCCTCAGGGAAGGAACAGATGCTGTCTCAATGTTGAGGGCCAAAAAACTTGCAAGTGTGAGCTTGTCCACTGCAGGGCTTCCAGGCAGAGGGGCCTCTTTGGCCAGAGGTGGGACACAAGCTTGTGTAGGTCAGGTGACCAGGCCTGTGTGTTCTGCAGGTAGGGCCTTGGTGGGGAGGGAGTCTAGGACTGAGGTTAGGGTGGGTGTCTGCAGGGCTGGTTTCCAAGCTTGTCTGCTGGGTGGATGGAGGTGGTGCTGGGGCTATGGATGCTTAGCTGTGAGTTTGCTCACTTACACATGTGGATGTTTTCTGAGTAACGTGAAAGGTTCTCAACATGCAGTTCAAAACGGCAGTTCACATGCTTACAGAGGTTTAGAATAGACAAAATGATGCCTTTCCTTTTAACATGGAGAAGTATCTAGCGACCTGCTTGCCCTTATGGGGAAGCAGGAACTGATGTGCAGTGTTTTACAAGCCGTGTTTCCGTAGGGCTCAAAGAAGGTGGCAAGAGGAAGAAGCAGAAGCAGAGAGAGGAGCCGAAGAAGAAGAAGTCGACCAAAGGGAACCACTAGGCTGGACTTGACGCAGACACCAGCCCCGCTTGCGTGCAGCCGCGCGTGTGGAGGCGGCGGCATCCTTTCAGTGCTGCCCCAGGGCCACCTCGCTTAGCAGGATTGCGAAAGTGTGCTCACGAATCGGTAGGATCAGGGGCGTTGGAGACTGAGGTGACGATCACAGGTGGCCTGGTAGACGTTTGGGACACAGCCTCGACTTTGTTACTCTGCTTTTCCCCAACACTAAATCTGTTAGCATCTTCCTCTTGAGTTGTAAGGGTCTGTTCATTCTTTTCAGTTACTCGTCCATTATACGAAGTGCTGAGATCTGTAGCGGTAGAGGTGCATGAAGTGCGGCAGGAAGCTCGGTATGTCCTCTTTCCCAATGGTGGGACCGTGTTTGGAATTAGAATGTAATTAAGTACAGTGTAACTTAAGGTAACCACGTATGTTACGCCTGGCACTGAGGCTGTCAGGGTACTTTTTGTCCAGAATAATCTGGCAGTACACAATAGGCCATTTTGAGTCACTTCAGATGTAAAATCATTCTTGGTGTTATTGTTCTAGTTTTAGTCCTCTCCAGGTAGTAAAAATTTGACTCCAAATACTGTTTAATTTTTGCTAAATCTCTTCTTTCTTTCTTGGATCCATAATTGTTCTTGTTTAGTGAAAAGATTTTGCTCAGCAATACCATCTTTAGCTTTCATAGGTCAGGCTCATACCAGGGAAAAACAGGCTGGTTATTTACATGCACATCCTAACAGAAGCTTGACCTAACTATTTCAGTTTGCAAACATTGGCCCCTGAGAACAGCATTTCACTCTCACCAATTCTGCTGCTTCCTGTCGTCAATCGGTTGCATGCGGTGCTTCTTCTTAACATTTGTTTTATTGAGCACCAGGTGGCTCTGGGGCTGCTTAACTTCCTGCCTGCATGTTCCTCTTGGACAGAAGTGTCCCTTCCCTTCACCGTGAGGACCCATTGTTCACGCTGCTTTTTCCTTTGTCCTCTTGGAAGCAAGGGCATTGAAAAAAGTGTTGACATGTTTAAAGTGCTAGCGGTCTAATCTGGCAGTGTGGAAAGAAGAATATTTTGTGCAGTCATGCAGCAGTGCCACAGCTGGGAGCCTGGGACAAGTGTCACCTGTGGTTTAAGGTGACTGTCGCGGCACAGTTTGCTGTGTTTTCTTGGTTTGGTGGGAGGTACGGGCGGCTACTTGGTGGAGCAGATTGGTATTTAAGTTTGTTGTGGAAAATGTGACCGTCAAGGCAGCATGTATTTTAATGCTACCTACGAATAAAATGTGTTACTGAGTCCAGCTCGCTTGTGGTCATTTATAGCGTCAGTAAGTTGCACTGTTACTCTTAACTAAAAATTAAAGCAGTTCTTCAGTGTTTTCAAGTATGGAAAATAAAGTGATATTTTGGGGACAAAAGATATGTCGATGTCCATTGTGGATGTGCAGGTTCCTTTATGAAGGACATCCAGTGAGTATAGGCAGTGGCCTGACAGATCACAGGGAGGGGAGGTGGTCTCATCCAGTGATTGTGACAATACTTGGTCACCACACTCAAGTTTTCCAGCACCAAAGAGGAAGATCTCTTCATTCTGGGAGAACACATCGCCACCCAGGGGAAATGATCAATAGCCTCAGATCCTAGACTTGCTGTTCTGATGGTGATTGTGCACGGGAGGTAGGTGGCACTCTGTTGTGGCTGGTATCACAGCTCCCTGTAGCCACAGTACCTACTTTGAGGCCGGTCACGGGTGTGTGGCTGAGCTCCCCAGCAGGCACACGATAGCCATGCATGTGACAAACTCTCCCAAAACCAACAGGTCCCTTCCTGTGTCTTAAGGTGACCTGGTTGTGCAGGTCTGTTCAGGTCTAAGGGCAGCTCCTCCCTACACTACTGTAGCCCTGTGGTTGGGAGGGAAGGGAGTCAGTGTCTCTGGAGTATCTGCTGTGTAGGAGGCCAGCAGGGCAGATTAAGTCAGTGCCCAGCAGGAGCTCATGGTGTGCTGACCACTTGGCTGCTCATTGCCTTCTGGTGTGACCTATGTAGGACCCTGCCTGAGGGACAGTGGGCACTTGTCACTCAGCTGGGGGGTGGGTGGTTATGTTTTGGCCTCTGCCATCTTTGTTGACCCTTCAGGGTCTGAGTGGTTCCTACTCCATCAGAAGGGCTGTGGTGACTGGCCTTGTGGGACTGGGGCCAGAAGGGGGCCCAGAAGGGTCAGGAATGCAAGGGGCCACCTGTGTCCTACCTGGTACCACCCTGAACCCTTTTCACCTGTGTTGGGTAGGGGTAAGGGCTGCAGACAGGACTCACTTCCCATGTGCAAGTGAACATAAACATTTTTAAATGCTTCCGCAGTCGAGGAGAGGTGGCAGAAGTAATGTAGCAAAACCCTAGGGCTTGTTCTGGTCCTCTGTGGTAGTGTCTTGTGACTGTAGGAGCCTGACACCCAGGAAATGAAGCGCACAATCCACAGAAAGGTCAGCCATTGTCCTGTGCCTTAGAAAAGTCGAGCCATGGCATCAGAAGTCTCCTCAGAGTTGGTTGTTTATTTTTTGTTCTGACCTGCATTTGCCCAAAATAAGAATTTATTTTGTATATCATTTAGAAAGAGAGCCGTTCATCCAGTTTAGATTCCAAATTTGGCCCCTGCACTCCTCCCTAGGGCTCTTGCTGCTCCAGGTCTTGCCTGAGGTTTGGGTCTGTCCTGGGCACACTTTGAGCTTTGCCTTTGGTCTTGGGCTGGGTTCCACCCTCAGGAAAGAGCTTTTCTTTGTCACTGATTCTGCCCCACAAATGCCACTAAGTGAATATCCTGTCTTAATATCCTCAAAATATCCATCCAAAGCTGAGTGGTGGGTCTGCGATCAGCTGCCACCCAACGTGCTCTCACGGGCCTGGCACGCTTGTTGGTGTCAGTGTAGGGCTGCGCTGCTGTATGTGCCTGGGGGGCAATGGTGGGGCATGTGGGGACCTGGAAGCCTGGGGTGGACAGCAGCCTGTCTGTTCTCCAGAGGTTAGGAGATTCCTAAGGCTGTGGCACCTGCACCCCTGCCTTGGGCCATCTCCAGGAAAGTGGTGGTATGCCCTCCCTCAGGAGGTGCACCTGGGTTGTGTACACCCTCCGTTGTGTCTACCTGCCCTTGAACCAGCCATTTCCATCCCAGTGAGGAATGCTTTGCCACAGTGCTGCTGTCCAAACCTGAGGTTGTGAGCAGTGGTCAGTTCCCAGCTAGTGGAGCAACCAACCAGTGAGCTGTGCTGTGCTCACCAGGACCACCTGGAAGGGCCAAGCCCCCCCTTCCCCAGCACTCCGCTCACCGTAAAGGTGAGGTAGAGCCCCTCCTTATCTTGTCCTTGTAGATGGAGAACAGATGTCAGACTTAGGACACCAGATGGACACTATGAGGAATGAGTGTGCCACAAGGACACAGTGACAAGGTCATGGGGGCTTTAGGGGTTGGGAAGGGCCTGGAGCACATGGACCTGTATCCAGGTGGGTGGGGGGAAGAGGAACATTGGGAAGGGCAGAAGCACTTGGGAAGGAAAATGCAGTCACAGAGGTAAGGAAAGTGGTGCTGTGAGGGCCTGGTACCCCTTCTTTGTGACAGGGTTAGGTGTCAGGGCCTTCTATATCTCAGTGGTGGGTGGGGTCTGTGTGGGCTGGCCCCACTGTGCCCATTCACACAGTTTCTAGTGTGCATCAAGACAGCAGTGGGGTTTCTGGAGATTGTGGGTGTTTTCATTTCCTGGCTTTTGCATTTTTCCTCAGTAGAGTAAGAGCCAGACAGGAGACGGCCCTCAGCAGGGGACTCTTGCCTTGGGTCTGTGGGCCCCATCGCCCCGCTTTGCCCTGGAGGTGTCAGGCCTTCCTCACAGCAAGAGAGAGCTCAGTGGACTTTGGACCTCAGGCCAGTGCTCTGCACGGAGGCTGCCACTCACAGGCTGTGAACAAGAAGGAATGAGTGGCCTTGCTTGGGTAAATTGGCTTCCGGAGTGGAAGCCTGGGCAGCCCAAGGCTCTCACTGAGCCTTCAGAGGAGGCGGCCCCATGCTTTAAAGAAATGTTTTATTCTGGTAAATACGCATAACATCAAACTTGCCATTTTAACCTTTTTAAGGCATTAAGGACATTCACTTCACTATGCTACCATGGCCACCATCTGCCTACAGAACTTTCTCATCCTCCAAACTGAAGTTCTGTCCCAGTGTAGCACTGCTTCCCTCTTACTCCCTGGTCTCTGGCCTCCACTATTCTCCATCCATCCTTCCATTTTCCCCTTAAATGGACATATGTTTATACTCATTTATGGGGTACAGTGTCATAACATAATGCGCACACACTGTGTAGCAATCAAATCAGGGTGGTTAGCATATCTCTTCTGGCGTCTTCCATTCCTCTGACTGTCTGTGAATCTGTCCACCCTCAGAAGCACATACCGGTGGAATCCTATAGTATTTGTCCTTTGGCGAGTGGCCTGTTGTACTGAACGTAAAGCCCTGAGGGCTCATGAGTGTTGTCCTTGTATGTGAGTCTCCTTCCTTTTGAAGGCTAACATTGCCCATGTATGTCTGGACCACATGTTCACTCATTCCTGTGTTAGTGGACACGTGGTAGGCTTCCACCTGAGCTGCTTGACCTGTGTCCTAATTTGTAGCCAGGGAGACTGACCTCTTTCTGGGAAGTGATCTGTTTCACTTCTTGGTGAGAAGTGCTGTGTGGGTTTCTGTTCCTGCCTCTTCTGGTGGCTTGTGGGGCTGTCCTGCTGCCTGGGTTCAGGGAAGAGGGCAATAGGGAATGCTGGGTGTCCCTTGGAGCTTGCAGAGGGTCTTGGGTACCCAGCAAGTTACCCTCCTAGTGCCTGATCAGCCAGCCTGGGCTCCCTGCCCTGTCAGGCAGCCTCAGAACCTTCTCTTGGTGCTCACTCCCATCCAGGCTGCCCACTCGCAGTTCTGGCCCTGGGTTCCAGCGGGCTGGGAGGCAAGACTGATCCAGGGGTCACATGTGACAGAGCCCTCTCTCCTTGGAGTCTTATGCCAAAGCTTTCATACATTTACCATGGGCACTGCACACCAGCCCAGACCCAACCAGGCCAGGCACAAAGTGAATGGGTTATCTGACTACAGGCCATGGCCTCATCCTGAGGTCAGCTGAGTAAGGAGCAACCAGTTTCCAGAGGAATGTGCCTGCCATTAACATCTACCTGGAAGTCGCTCAGTGTCTTCCCAGGATGCCAGCTTCTTCCCCGAAGGAACTGTGAAGTCACCTCACGGAAATATGCCCTAAACCAGGTACGGGCCATTTCTGCTTTACTGTGCACCAGGGAGCAGCAGGCGCCATCACAGTCCCCCTCTCATGGTCCCTCCAGAAGTCCTCTGGCAGTTCAGAGTGACAACCAAGGATCCCTGTGCTGGGCTCCTTTCATTTCAAGTTCCCTTTGCTGTTTTCTCAGGTGCTAGGGACAGAACCCAGGGCCTCTTCCACTGAGCTACATCTTCAGCACTTTGCCAGAAGGAGGAGGAATGCCTTGAGGAGTGGCTCGACCAAGTGTGCAGGTGGCCCTGGTCACAACAAAGCTCTAGTGTGGAAAGAGAAGCATATCCTGTTCTGTGTCTTTCATGAATGTTGGGTGCTCTCAGAAACGGAGGAAAAACCTGCCACGGACAGGGACTAGCTCGTCTAGTGTCCTGGAACCCCAGGGGTGTTGCAAGCACATGGGGTTGTTGGGAGGGTGGGCAGAGGACCAGCAAGTTCAGCCCTTTGCACAGTCCTGGCCTGTGCACAGTTGTAAGAGTTGGAAGACAGATGGCACCGAAGGGCAAGCTAAGTGTGCACCCTGTCTCTGCATGTGTGCCTCTGCTGTTCAGGCATCCCTGATACCTGCTTCTCCCAGGTGAGTGCACTGAGCCAAAGCACCCACTGCTCCCCAAAGGTCACCGATGGGGTGAGGCCTATGTTCAGCTACTGGGCCCCATTCTCCTGCAGGGGTCAGGTTTCTTTTTTCTAGGAAAGAGAGGAGGGTGTCGTGTGGCTATGTAGCAAGTACCACAGACTGAGGCTCAGATACCTTCTTACTCACAGGCTGGAAGTCCAAGTCAGAACCAACTCAGGCTGGTTCCTCCCGAGGCCTCTTTCCTTAGCTTGCAGACGAACAGCGTCTCTTCCCTGTGTCCTCTCAGGACCATCCCTCTGTGTGTCTTTTATGACACAGATTAGATCAGGTCCCAGACTTATGACTTCATTTATTTTTACGCACTTCTTTAGTACTGTTACTTCCAAATAGACATATCCTGAGGTCCACAGGGTAGGGCTCAACCATGAAC